ATCACGCGTCCTACCAGTGAGGGGGCTAGCTGGTAGGATGGGAGTATGGCATAGCAGCAGCAGAGATGGTGGCTCCGCTGCAGTCAGTCTTGCCCAAGTGAGGTAAAGTGGATTGATGGGGGGTTTTCCGAGTCGTTTCGGAATTTTCTTAATCATGAACTTGTCATAGACACGTCTGAGGTAGTTCCAATTTCTCCGAGCCAAAGCTGGGTAATGGCCCCGGTATCTCATGTCCTAAAATTCCATCCTTGGGCCAATTAGATTTTTCAGTAGTTCCTTGTCTCATTCTCATGCAATTTTCTGATGAAGTTTTCTGAAAGTACTCGTTATGGGACACTGGGCCCGGTTCCCGGTTTGCTCCAATTTGTGAGGATATGGTTGTATCTATGGGACGCTGGACCCGGTTTCCAGCAGGTGCTGCTCCCCACCAATAGATGGAGCTTGTTTCTTCAAAAAAAAAAAAAAAAAAAAGGAGGATGCAAAAGAGGCCGCGCCGGCATTGCAGGACTCTCTATGCGCCCTCGTGCACGCTTAAGAAATGGCGGCGAGAACGGGAAATGCGCCCAACCACTGTGTTTCACGGACGTGTGAGGTGTAGTAGGTACTAGAGGATTCTCGTGTAATCGCCCGGGGGGTAGAGAGAGGTAGATCGGATGGCCTTGGTGGAGCGGGCACCCGCCGCCATTTTTTGGTGTTCTGGTTTGTTTAATGAACTTCGCATGACCTTGTCGTTGCACGTGTGAGTGCTACTCCCTCTTCATGGATCTTGTGATTGCCACTCCCTGTCCTCATTGCACTGCGATGTGCTTTCCACGTGTCATTGTGTGATGTTCAGCAGAGAAGGTTTTCGACAGCATACCTTTTTTTTTTTAATGGGAACAAGGCTCCAATCTATTCGTGGGGAGCAGCACGTGCTGGGAACCGGGCCCAGTGTCCCATATAAAGATTCACATCGAATTTTGAAATTTTGAGAAACCGGGGCCATTGCCCGGCTTAGGCTAAGAAAAAGTGGAGTTACTTAGGAAATTACTACGACAAACTTCAGAATTGGATAGAATTCAGAAAACAACTCAGGAGGCCCCCATCAATCCTCTTTTACCTATGAAATTCAGAAAACAACTCAGGAGCCCCCATTCAATCCTCTTTTACCGCACTCCGGCAAGACTTACTGCAACAGAGCCACCATCTCCGTTGCTGCTGTACCCTATTTCCATCCTACCAGCTAGCCCCCGCACTAGTAGGACCTTTTTTTTTTTTTTTTTTTTTAAACAACCCCCTGCAGTGCTAGCGGTGCTGACGAAATCAGACACCGCTAGCACCTGGGGAGAGGCTCCATCTATTGGTGGGGAGCATCACCTGCTGGAAAACGGGTCCAGTGTCCCTTTACGACACGAATACAGAATGCATACAGAGTGAGGAAGCCTGCCAGCATTGATTACTCTGGCATCCAGAGGATTGACTGTACAGGTAGTCTCGGGAGGGGAGGGGAGGGGAGGGGAGGAAGCCTCTTAGGAGGCTTGATATCCCACCATCTATTTCTCCCACTCACCTAAAAGACTCAAACACCCCCAATCCGTCCCCTGTACCCCACTCCAGCAAGACTTACTGCAGCAGACCCACCATCTCCGCTGCTGCTGTACCCTTTYCCCGTCSTACCAGCTAGCTCCCTTACTACAGTCTTCCCCCGAATACAACGTACGGTCATTATAGCTGAATTTGGGGTATCTTCCAGTCTAAATTCAGCTATAATGACCGTACGTTGTATTCGGGAGAAGACTGTAGTACGTCGCGTAATATCCCACCTTCTCCTTCTCCTACTCACCTCGGTCTCTTGAGAAAACGTCTGAGCAGTACGAAAAACATGGGAATAGGCCTCATAGGTCGTACAAATCCTAAAAAACCCTTGAAATCAGTGACAAACCCTTCCAAAGACGTTTTCCTTTTTCTTCTTTATGTGCGTATCGGTGAACGTCCGTTTACATCTGCTGGGTATGCTCGGGAAAAATTCACAGAAGTGAAAGCACTGTGTTGCCCATTCCATGCAAAGTTCAATGATCGGTTAATTGCAAAAATGTTGGTTTTTCCGAGTTTTCCAGCAAAAAATGTTATCCGGTTGAAGTTTCTTTGCAAAAAAAAATTAGAGGTTTGGTTGCAGCTTTACCGGGTTCCCGTAGTTTGCCAGCCAAAATAAAAATACAGCTTTTTGCCAAGTTTCACAGCAGAGGACCCCTAGGCCTCTGGCCTCAGGTACTCAGGGAGGCATAGTTTTTTTCTTTTTCTTTTTTTCCCGCATCTCTCTGCGGCCACGCCAGGGGTCAAGTCCCACCGCCAACGTTGAGTTTTCCCAATGCTTAGCTTTCTATGGCCTGTGGCATGGTGGGACAGAGCTCTGCCGTTGATGTATTGAGAATCTAAGGGTACCGAAATACAGGAGAATAACCTATTAGATTTCGTCGTTTTGTAGATATTTTCTTTGACATGAAATCCGTTTTGTCGTATGCCTTCGCCCTTTCCGTTTGGGCAGGAAACCATTTAGGGCCTCGCCACACCAATGTCGAAACATCACGAAATTCGACAGCTGTCAGAAAATTTTCCACATTCCCTCTTTCGCCAGAAAAACCCGCAGCATGTCGAAATGAAGAACTCGCGAGTCCTATGCACAAAAGAGACAAACTGGGGTGAAGATAGGACAAGCCTTGGTGCCTGCTCTTTTCCGACATTCGGGCAACCATTCGACATCCCATCCGAGGACTGTTGAAAATGTCCAAGTTGCAGGCCTGAAGTGGAAACAAGTCCTTCTTGAGAGGAGGTGTCGAAACCCTTTCCCTGACAGCTCCTGAACTTTTGCATCTGGGATTTCGACATGCTGTAGGGCGAGGAGAAAATATCAAAAATGCAGTTTTCTACATTGGTGTGGCGAGGCCCTTAAAGTTTCCAAAGCTACCCTACCCCCCCCAGGGGCCTGGACCTATTAGTGAAGTATTCTACCACTCCGTTCTGGATTTCGATCACGTGTGGCCTCGAGTGACGCAGCAGGGCCATCGAATACATCGGATCTGGACGGCCTGGTAGTTTCTGAGCGGGGACTGTAAAGATGCCCACCTCCGTCCAGTGGGATGCGTAGAAAAACAAAGAAAAACAAATTTGGACATGATAGCTTGTGGCTTTGCGTGGAAGGGAAGTCTGGATTTTATGGACTAGAAAGGGGGGGGGTTGATTTCCAGACTTCGTTTTTTTTTTTTTTTGGCTCTGAGAAACCGAACTTGAAATGTGAAATTCAAATATTGTGGTGGATCTGACAGGAAGGCTCCTCCTCTGTCCGATTGCCTGTTAGAGCATCATGAGGTACATGGTAGTGAATGTATCCCCCATACCCGTTACTTGTTCATCCTCGTCTCTGTGTTCGTGGCCACATTTATTGCCACGGTACATCACTATGACGACTTACGTGAAGGAGATAGTACCAACCGATGAGTTCGGGTGCACAGCTGTTCTTCTTTGTTTTATGTGCCATTTCAATTCATTTTAAATCAGAAAACGATCCGCTCATGCAAATAAAAAATCAATTTGCCTTGTCCAAAAAACCATAAAATTGCGTCACACATAGTAGAATACTTCCCTAGTGGGTCCAGGCCCCAGGATTGATTTCTCAACTTATGGGCCTCGCTGCACTACTCTCGACATGCACAAAAAACAAAGTCATGGCCGTGTATCTTTCCATATTCTGGCGGAAGAGTCAGGGCCTCGCCACACCAATGTTGAAACATCACGAAATTCGACATATGTCAGGAAATTCTCCCTCTTTCGACAGAAAAACCCTCCTCGCCACACAGCATGTCTAAGTGAAGAACTCACAGTCCTATGCACAAAAGAGAGAAACTGGGGTGAAGATAGGACAAGGGTTGGTGCGCTCTCCTTCTCGACATTTGGGCAAGAATTCGACATCCCATCCGAGGACTGTTGAAAATGTCCAAGTTGCAGGCCTGAAGTGAAAATGAGCCCTTCTCGAGAGGAGGTGTCGAAACCCTTTCCATGACAACTCCTGAATCTTTTTTGCCTCTCGGATTTCTACATGCCGTGTGGTGAGGAGAAAATGTCGACAACGCAGTTTTCGACATTGGTGTAGCGAGGCCCTAGCTCTCTTTTTGCGCATTTCAAGAGTAGTGCAGCGAGGCCCTATGTGCCTTCCTTCTTTTTGTTTTTTTAGACATCATTACACCCTGAAACGGAGGAACTCTGACAGCTGTGTTTTGCTCTCGGCACCTCTCGCGCATCAAACTCTCTTCCTTCTTTGGGCAATAAACACATCTGGCCATCCATGTTGTCCCTGTCCATTTTACAAATGGTCACATCCTGTCCCCTCACCACGGGAAGTACCCTTTTTTCCACGGAGACATTCACTCCGACTGTACCAGAAGTGTTTCATTTCTTCGAGTTACGTAATCAAAAATTCAGGAGAAAAGTTGTTTCTAGCGTTTTTTTTCCAGTTTTTTTATTTCTTGTTTTGAATTTATTAATGTCAAAATGGTGTCACACAGTTGCCTTTTCTAAACTTAAACTTGAGAGATGATCATCAGTCATGCATTCAAACATGCAAGTTCAAATACAGAAGAAGCAGTATACACAAGGCACACTACTCAAGACAAGAAAGAGAACCGAGCGTAGGTAATGTCGAAAGATACAACAATACGCACACCGATGTCAGGCGAAAGCACCCAACACCGTGTTTCTGCCGGTCGCCTGTCCGGCTTCATCAGGGGTCTCGCTACCTGGCGCAGGATAGGGAAATTGTCAAAACTACGTTACTTATACATCAACCGGTACTACTAGTGGGCCCTAGAGGCCGTAGCCACACACGGGAACTAAGGCTACAAGTAACTACCCTCGAAACAGACACCGGTTCGAGACGAGTGCACTACCCAGCAAGGTAAGCCGAAAATCCAAAAACATAAAGAGATACCAAATTTCGGAGTCCCGAAGCAGGCACTACCAAAAGACAAGTCAAGGTGTACCCATCCACAAGGTTCACTGTTCGAACCCCCTATACTACAAAACAAAGGAAGAAAAGGCACTACAGACCCAAAAACAGGTCAACAGATCTAACCGAAGTAAGAAAAAATTCTACGAACTAGAAAACCCGTAAACAGTTGTCCATCAGTCAGCCGATTTCCAATTCGTAAAGCATAATACCCCAATGTCCCAACAGTTGTTTATGCAAGCAGAAAAATTCCTCAGACACTGGTCGAAATAATAGTAAGGGAAACCTCTGTTCTCCAGTTCCATTTTGAGCGTGAACAAGAAACAAGCGTCTGTCGAAATAAACTTGGGCGGTGGGACTTCACCCCAGAGATGCCTCGGTCATGGGATTTTTTTTATTTTTTTTTTTTTTTTTTTCCTGCCGCCGTTCTCAGCCATGGCCACACGCGTGCAATGAACCCAGATCATGAATACATTCGTCAACAATGCAAGTTCAGAATCTGAAGTCGCTGATGATTTCCAATAATCGAATAGTGTCCAGAAAGAAGGAGGTGAGATAACCATACACAGACGAAGAGGGAGGAGGGAGATGAGACAAAGGAGAGGAAGAAACAAGGCCCACTCCTTCTCCGGGCTCCCTACACAATCGCCACCTCACAGAACCAGTAATCTGAAYACATAGTCGAAGTCCTTCYACAATGTGCCACGTGGCACCTAATCAGTCCCCAATCAGCGCTGGAGCAATGTCAA